GTACAATAAATGGCTTTTTTTATTGTTTATTATTCATATGTGCATACAATGCTTGAGTCATTTCTCCCCCTGCCCACCCCCTCCCTTACCACCCACTCCGCCCCCTCCATCTTCCCCCCACCCCCTCAATACCCAGCAGAAACTATTTTGCCCTTATCTAATTTTGTTGAAGAGAGAGTATAAGCAATAATAGGAAGGAACAAGGGTTTTTGCTGGTTGAGGTAAGGATAGCTATACAGGGAGTTGACTCACATTAATTTCCTGTGTGTGTGTGTTACCTTCTAGGTTAATTCTTTTTGATCTAACCTTTTCTCTAGTTCCTGGTCCCCTTTCCTATTGGCCTCAGGTGCTTTTTAAGGTATCTGCTGTAGTTTCTCTGCGTTAAGGGCAACAAATGCTAGCTAATTTTTTAGGTGTCTTACCTATCCTCACCCCTCCCTTGTGTGCTCTCGCTTTCATCATGTGCTCAAAGTCCAATCCCCTTGTGTTTGCCCTTGATCTAATGTGATCATATGAGGGAGATCATATGAGGGAGAACATACGATTTTTGGTCTTTTGGGCCAGGCTAACCTCACTCAGAATGATGTTCTCCAATTCCATCCATTTACCAGCGAATGATAACATTTCGTTCTTCTTCATGGCTGCATAATAAAATGGTTTTTAATATGCTCACAGAGTTGTGAACCATCTCCACCTTCAATCTTAGACCATAACCATTAGCAGGTGTTCCAATTTTTTCTCCTTTCCTTAGTAATTCTCTCCTTCCCACCTCCAGAATATCACTTACCTACTCTCTGCCTCTCTATATTTGTCTAGTCTGAACTTTCTCCCACCATTTCATTTAACTGTAATTAAATATCTTATTGACCAACATCTCTCTACTCTACCCAAGTCCCTGGTAATTATCATTCTACTCTATTGTTCAAGAAGAATTTACACTTCTATGTGTAAACCATAAACTTCATATATTCATCTGTTGTTAGATATCTAAGGGGATTCCATGTCTTGTCTATTGTAAACAGTGTTCTAATAAACATAGGATACAATGGAATTCTAGCCTTCAAAAAAGAAGGAAATATTACCATTTGTATCAACATGGATGAATCTGGAGGATATTATGTTAAGTGAGATAAGCCATGCACACAAAGACAGAAACACATAATCTCACTCATATGTGGAATCTAAAAAGTGTATGTCAAAGACTGTTAGTCAGCTTTCCATCACTAGAACAAATACCTGAGGAAATCAACTTATAAAGAGAAAAAGGTTATTTTGGCTCATGGTTTTAAAAGTTTCATTCCCCGATTAATTGGCCCTTTTGTTTTGGGTCTGTGGTGAACAGCACACAATAGTGGCAACACATGGTAGAGCAAAACCACATACTTCATGACTAGGAGACAAAGATAGAGAAGAGGGGACTGGAGTCCTACTATTCCCTTCAAAAACATGCCCCTGATGATCTAAAGACTTCCCACTAGGCCCAACCTGTTAAAGGTTCTAACACCTTCTAGTAGCACCACTCTGGAGAGCAAGTATTTATGACATGGGCCTTTGGAGGAGATTTAAAATCCAAACTGCAGAGGCTGGGAGTGCAGCTTAGTGCTAGAGCACTTTCCTAACACACATAAGGCCCTGAATTTGATCCCTGACACCAAAAAAATTCAAGATCCAAACTATAGCATGGTTGTAGGAAATAGAATGGTGGTTACTGATGGCTGATAATGGGGTTTAGGGAGATGTGAGTCAAAAAACACATAATTACACATAAATAAGAAGGGTAAGATTACTATACAGGGTGGTCCATAGTTAATGGTGGTACATTGTATTATTGGAAAATGCAAAGACAGTGAATATTAAAGTGTTCTTATTAACCATTTTGAAATAATGCATATGTTAATTATATTTAGCTATTCTACAATGTATATACTCTCCAAATCATGCTGTACATGATGAATATATGCAATTTTATCTAACAATCTGAAAACTGTTGAGCTCAAGGTCTCATGCTTCCTGGGCAGATGGTCTGCCTCTAGAACCACATTCATAGCCCTTTTTGCTTTTATTACTTTTGGATAGGGCCTTGTGCTTTTGTCTAGGCCAGCATCAAACACAGTCTTTCTACTTATGCTTCCTATGTAGCTGGGGATTACAGGTCTGTGTCTCTGTACCCAGATTATTGTTCAAGATGGGGATTTCACTAAACTTTTTGTTATTTGGCTTTGACTGGCTTCAAATTGAGGTCCTCCTGATCTGCACATCCTGAGTAACTGGGATTATAGGTGTGCACCACCATGCCTGGCCTTTAAAACTGGTTTTTATTTTGATTTTGGTAATACTGGGCTTGAACTCAAGGCTTTGTGCTTGCTAGGCAGGCACTTCACCACTTGGGCCATGCCTTCATCCCAAACCTTGCTTTTAAAAAGAAAAAATATAAGGAATTTCTGTTTTTGATGATGAAAATATTCTAAGCCTTGGTTGTAATGATAGCTACATGACTTCGAATGTGCTGGAGATCACTGACCTTGTATACTTTGAAAGAATTTTGTGGTACATGAATTATAATCTCAATAAAGCTGTTGAAAAGATCACTTTGTACCCCCACACAGCACAACTATAAAGGAAAAAACTGTAAAAAAAAAAAAGATCATATGAATGCAAGAAAAATTATACTATCTCATTTATGAACATAAGCAGAAAATTTCTAAGATAAATATTCATAAAAGTTAATTAAGTTTTTCATATTTACTTAAGTGGGGTGACTCCAGGAAAGCAATGATTCAGCAACAGAACATGTACTGATATATTTTATTGAAATAACAAAATATATGATCATTTCAATGCATTTTTTATTGAACATACATTTATTGCACACTTATGAAACAGATGTTATGAAGTGGAAAACAAAAGAAAAAAATCCTGGTTCTCAATAGCAGAGAAGGCAGTTGATAAAATCCCCATCAATTCTTAGCAAAATATTAAAACAGAACTCTTTTAATAAATTCAAGGTATTTATCAAAAACAGAACATACATCATCCTTAATGTTGAAATGTGAAAAGCTTTCTCATTGATCCCAATAAAAAGATGTCTACACTAAAGGCCCTGGCCACTAAGTTTTAAATTAGATATACAAAAATTTAATGGAGAATTCTTCTCCTTTAAGATAAAATAATTATATGTGCCTTAAAAACTCAATAGTATATGAGTAGAGTTCAACAAAGTTGACAGATCCAAAATCAAAGAACATGTACAAAATACCATGCCATTTGTGCACATTAGAAATAACCAAATAGTAAATGTACTTGAATTTTTAATATAACAAAAACAAAAAATAGAAGAAGGCAGCTGGGTAAGATATCTTAAATTTATGTGTGACCTTAATCAAAATAATTTACACCAAAGGCAACTTTCACCATTCAGCCTTGGTGAATAAAAATGCCGTTGAGTATTTGAATAGCCTCCATCTTGCCCAGTCGTAGCAGCAGTATTTGCAAGTTCATGGATCAGAACTGGGCTAGCTGACCATTAAGGAGGATATTAGCAGCCACATGGTAGGCTATTCTATTCAATTAGTTATGCTTTGGCAATAGGGTGCCTCTGGTGAGAATTTGTCCAAAACATACTCTCAATTTCTTGGTCCGTAACTTGCACATTCAAAATAACACTAGAAACTATTTTAATATTCTTCAAAAGTTAGTAAGGATACCAGAAAATGCCCTTGTTTTCTTTGAGTTTATATTTTCTGCTACTGAGGAGGACAAGGTGAAGGGGAGAATGACAATTGACAGTTTGTAAGTAAATAAAAAAAATCAAAGGTAAGTTCAGAAAGAAATGATTTTTGACCATGATTATCTCAGTCCACACACTTACCCAAATTTCCTAATTAGAATAATACTCCAATTGTGTTTCACAATCTAAGGCACCTTCCCTAAAATTCTACTGGTTTCTTCTTGGTGTTTGCCAGGGGCTTTGTCCAGCATTTTCTCTACCATTGACTTTCTCAGGTTCTGCCATTTCTACAGCACCATGAAGATTGAGTAGCAGTTACATGACCATCAATGCATACGAGCTGGGGAACTATCTCTTCCCTGAAGTCGCTTCACAGCTAGAGACAGTTGACCATTGGGTAAATAGTTTGAAGCAAACAGGTTGTGTGCAGTCTCTATTAGACATGCTTAGGTTCAAAAAGCAATTTCAGATAGTCTGATTGTCCCTGGATGGTTATACCTGAAATTCCACCTTAAAAATTTTAAAGAAAAGGTATAAGGTATTGTGAAGATCAAGACATTAGGGAATTCTCCTTAATATACAGGCACTGCTTATTGAAATTCTGATCATTTTACTCATCACTTTGATTTTTAGTCTATTATTTTAAACACTAGAAACATTTTCTTAGCATTCTTCTCACAGCTGCCTTCACCTCCTTGTTCTTCAGGCTATAGATGAGGGGGTTCAGCATGGGAGTGACCACACTGTACTGCAAGGAGAAGAGCAACTCTTGAGCAGATCCCGAATTTGGCATGAGGTAACGGAGTAATCCTGAACCATAAAAGAAGCTCACTGCAGTGAGATGGGAAGAGCAGGTGGAGAAGGCCTTGCTTCTGCCTAAGGTAGAACTGATGTCCAGGATGGTAAGCAAAATGCGAACATAGGAAAAAAATATTAAAATAAAATTTCCAAAGAAATGCAGGAGGCTGGAGCAGATGAGGGTGGTAAAACTTACAGACACATCAGAGCAAGACAAAAGATAAAGAGAGGGCAACTCACAGATGAAGTGGTGAATATTTTGAGCCTCACAGAAGTCCAAATTGAGAGCTACAAAGATATTGATGAGAGCATCCAGAAAAGCCAAACCCCATGAGCCCCATACCAGCCCTACACACAGCTGTTTGTTCATCACCTGACCATAGAGCAGAGGGGAGCTGATGGCAACATAGCGGTCATAGGCTATCACAGCAAGTAAGCAGGATTCAGTGCCTCCAGTGGCAAACACAAAGAAGACTTGAGCCAGGCAGCCCTCCACTGATATTGTTTTCTTCTCAGATAAGAGGTTCTCCAACAGCTTAGGCATGGTGACAGAGGAGTGGCAGAGATCCAAGAAGGACAATTGTCCCAGAAAGAAGTACATAGGTGTATGGAGGTGGGAATCAATTCTGACCAGAAGAAGCATCATCAGGTTCCCCACCATGGTCAGGAGGTAAATCACCAGGAACAGCACAAAGAGCAGAGCTTCAATGTGGATGTCATCAGACAGCCCGAGGAGGACGAACTCAAGGACAGCACTGTGGTTTCTCATTGCCTTCAGTATTTTCTTTGGAATGTAAAAAATAAATTGGGTGAAGCCTCTTCTTATGCCTAACAGACATCTAAGTGCCTTGACCCTTGTTTTTATTCACAAAGTTTTATGTTTGCTTGAAAACTCATGTATAGAAATGATAAACTTCTCCAAGTCTCTAGATTTTCTAAACCCTGTTTAGAAAAGCCCCAACCATAGATCAATTCTGTGTCCACCATTACTGTACTTTCTTAACTGCTTTAGAATTTATTATTGTTGTTTTATTGTTAAAGCTTCTGGGAGAGTTGGAGCAGTGGGGTTTCAAAGCAGAAGCATAGTGTGGCCTTAGGTGGGAGTAGGTTTAGTGCATCCATCAAACATGCGTGTGGTCAGGAAGTTTGCAGTTGGGAGTCAAGCAGTTCCCATGCAGTGACTTTTATTTTTTCAATAAATATTTAAGTGGCTTCAATAATAGATAGTAAAAAGGTACAGTGGCTGGAAATTTGCAGAATAAGTGGGAAAAGGGAATTAATGAAAGGAAGGGCATCACAGACCTCCCCTAGATGTGATATAACTGACATGAAAAACTTGTCTAGTGTAGAAACACATTCTGGTCATAATTTCCATGCCCAGCTTAAACATAATTCATGTGACCTGTTCAGTTTCAGCACTTGTTTATGTCCTCATGCTATCTGAAATACAGGCTACTTACTACTCTCTAAGTTCTGAGCTTTTTCTCCTACAGTGTACTGACAATCATATTCTCAGGACAGCCCTTCAACACCACTAACCATGCCATCTTAACCTTTCCTTTTTGTTCTACCTTTTGTATTCATATTGCAAGATAAGCACGTTCAGTTTCTCAAAGGACTTAGTGGTTTCTCTCTTATTAGGTATCTAAAAAACATCCAGCATTAATGCTACTCTTGGGAATCAAGTTCACATTATCTGTGTTTCTGATCCAGATTAGCAGTAGCTAGTATAGAATTTTAAACTTTTTCAAATCCAGTGATCCAGAAATTTTCCAAGACCTAATAACATGCTTGATCCAGATTAATAATTCTGAATGTCTGTGTGAGAACTCAGTGTTGGGCATAGTCCCCTTTTTTGATTTCCAAAAGAGAAAAATAAAAAAGTTAAATTGTATGTATTATTCTAAAAACATAAATATTTCCAGTCATGTAGGAATGTATTTTCCATATTATTACTTTTGTTTCTTTTACTCACCAGTGTAGCTCTGGCTTTAGATTTTTTTTAGATTTTCCTGAGAATATCACATCTTGGCAGATTTTGTTGGGAAAGCAAGAAATCAAACCAAGAAATCCAGACGAGAACCACAACTCCCAATATAATTTTGGAGGACACAAAAAGAAAGGTCTCTTCCCTTCTATTCATCCCCAAATGAAGTCTCACTCACTAACACTTAGAAATTCTTCAAACCATGGGGAAATTTTCTCCCTTAGAAATAACGTCAAAGAATGAAAGTCTTACAAAGGACATTTTCACAAATAACAGTTTTAGAAATTATGCCCTGTAAGGGGTCAGGCTTCCTCATAGATAAAGTGTTAGTTTTATGTGAAGGGTTGAAGAAATAAATATAATCATGTTTTTTTTAACGTGGTGTTACAATTTCCCTATTTTCAATGCTCCATCTACTCAGACTCTAAGTGCAGTGCCGAGATTGCTACCAATATGTGTTCCATTATTGTTACAAATGGGTGGAATTAGCTGAATAGATCATTTCCAAAAAGCACCTGACTGAGGAGAATGGTTCTCAGACTGACATACACACATCTCACACTGTGTCTGGTCCAAAGCACTGCTCAAAATGAATTATCTAATAATCAAATTAATACACTTATGGGTGAATAAATGAATGACTCAGGAGGAAAAGAGCCTAGGGTTTTACTACCCACAGAAAATATACCTGATTAGGATCCAGTAAGGGATTTTAGACAACCAGGGCATACATTAAGGCAGATGTACCAAAGACAATGAAGAACATTTTCAACTGGAGAGGTTTGCTCCAAAGCAGTGTACTTCCATATACCTCAGAGCTAAAACTATATGGCACACCTATAATTAATGATAGAATCATGGAGGAGATGAATCAAACTGGGGTACAATATATGTATACATGTAAATATAGCTATGTATGGAAATGAAACCTCATCCATAACCATCATATACTAATAAAAACTTTAAAAAAGATACAGTTACTTGCTGAATCCTGCAGTTTATAGTTGTTTGTGAATCACATTTCCCTAAGACTATCACTGATATCCCCATCTCCCATCACCCCTGTTTTCCAGGTTTTTCACATAATGTGTTTGTTCAGCATAAGAAACAAGGACTACAGCAAGATAAAGGAAATTGATTTTGTCTCAATTTGTCCCATATGTCAAAAGAAAGCTAAAAATAACTATCTTGGAAGACAATGAGAATTCACTAACTTGAGTGTAATGCTAAAGAAAGCAGAGTTGCTAAAGAATCATCAGATTCTCTTTTGTTCATCCCCAACTCAAGTGTTTCATTTTCACAAAAGGAGGAAGAGAAGTGATCTTGAGGAGCAGAACAAAACATCTTAGGTAACAGAAATGAATAGCATATCAGAGAGGACTAGGTACTACTTCAGTAGAAGAGTAGGCTGAAAGGGAAGGAAGTACCTAATAGGGGAATAACCAGAAGTGGCAGAAACTAGGGGAACACAGTAGCAGAGAAAACCATCAGAACACAAAGGGAAAGAATTACCATTCTCTGTCTTCCTGGTATAGAATGCGTCTTGTTTTTCTGAGGTGGAAGGTGTACCTCTGAACTCAGGAGAAATTCACAAGAAAAAAAAAATATCACAACTTCCCAAGCTTGGGAACTCACATTGTTTGCTCTATTTAAGACCTTTTGTGATACAGAGACATATATAAGCACATTCTTCAGAAGCTCCTGAAAATAAAGACTTCAGAAAACTTTTCTGAACTTTAACAGTGTTTTTGCACTTATCCCTTAATAACTCCTTTGTAGTTTTAACTACAAAGAAAAGGAAAACTTGAAAAACTCAAATTCTTAAAAGTACTACCTCAAAATCTTTCAAACTTCTAGCAGCAATAATTACAAAATCATCTTTCTCTGGTTAATACAGTGCTAAGATCACCACTCTAAGAAAGAAGGCTCAGGTCTTGCCACTCAGAAGGTCTTCTTCTGTGTTAATGTGGTTAATGGAATAGGCAAGTAATGGCCTGAAAGCCCAGGGGGGAAGCTGGGTCCATCTTGATTGCTAGAAAGCCCAACCTGAGACAAACATGGTTACTAGATGATTCCTCTGGGAATTTCCATTGAAGCTAACTGACTCACAGTTTAGCCTTAGATCATTTATGAATGTTGTCATATTATTACATATACTAAAGACATAATTACTATATGTATTAAACTACTGTGTATATTAAAGACAATTATATTTTCATATGTGGCGTTATCATTTTAGGATCAATGATAATTTACATTTACTGACATATTTAACTCTTTTGCTCAGCTTTTCTACATCTAGAACTGGAATGCTTAATACTGAAAGTAAGATTTCACTGGACAACTTTGGCACAAATTAGACAAACCCAAAGAGGTTTTAATGAACCAGAAGATAAGTTAGAAGAAAGTGAACTGTGAGCATTTTCTTTCTTCTTCAAAGCTTCCTTTTAAATTTTCATTTAGTGCAAATCTTCTGGTGATGGATTTATTTCACCTTCATTCTTTTACAATCTCTACTATATTCATTTTTATTATTCTTTTAATTATATATATTTATGGGGTATGGTGTGAAAATTTAGTACATGCATACAACATGTATTTATTATTGAACATAGAATAATAAACTTAGTACATGCATACAACATGTATTTATTATTGAACATAGAATAATAAACTTAGTACATGCATACAACATGTATTTATTATTGAACATAGAATCCTAATGGGGACATTGTTTTGTTCAATATTTTGAAATTTCATTCTATTGTCTCTTGTTAGTCTAACATTTCTCTTGAGAACTCAGTTGGTAGTCTAATTTTGTTTTCTCTGGCACTAATTTGCCTTTTTTTTCCTCTCAGTTTTTTAAAAATATTTTCTGACTTTTGGCTTTCAGTGATTTTGTTATGATTTGATAAAGTAATAATTTCTTTTTATTTGTTGCACTTTTACCATACTTGCTTCAGATTATTTTTCAAAAATACAAAATTATGCATTTGATGTCTTCTTTATACCATTCCTTAATTTCTTCCTCCATATCTTCCCCCCATATATAACCACCATCCAAAGCCTCCTATAGAGAGCAGAATATCCACCTAAATATATCTACACCCCAATCCCTGAATCCTCTGAATATTCTTCCTTGTATGTGAAAAAGGACTTTGCAGATGATATTAAGATTACAGACTTTAAAATAGATTTTCCTAGATCCTCCAAGTTAGCCTAATCTAATCATGTGAGTTCTTAAAAGCAGAGAAATTTCTTCTACTGATGTGAGAGAGAAGTGGCAGAAGTGGAAGTCAAAGAGATTTCAAGCATCAGAGGATTTAACCTACCTTTGCTCAGTGAGGGACACATGGACAGTTTGAGAACTCGGACAACCTCTAGGAGTAAAGACCAGTTTCAACTGACAGACAACAAAGAAATAGTGACCTCAGCTTTACAACTCAAAGAAATAAAATTCAGCCTTCAATCTGAGCTTCAAAGTAGATTTATCCCCAGAACCTCAGAAAGGAATACAGATGGACTGACACCTTGATCTTGGCCTGTTGTGGCTCTAAGCAGAGTACCTAACTGCACACTGTGTACCTAAACTTCCAAACTACAAAATGGTAAGATAGTCAACAGGGATTGGTTTAAGTTGTTAGATATATGGTAATTTGTTACAGAATAGAAAGCTCACGCACTTCCCCATGCATGCTTGTATATTTTTATTACATACATATCAATGTCTTGAAACTTCAAATAAATGACTCTCACCAGTATATAACACAATTCTTGACAGT